AAAAGATAGGAGTTGGGGTAAAAGGTTGGGCCCAGTTCCTTATTTCTCAGCCTCTAGAATCTGAACATTCCTTTCCACTAGTTGGGGCTAATGGAAGCCATAGGAGCCTGATTAGTGAGAGTGAGGTGAGGCTCCCCTAACATTGGGTAAGATATGGATCTGCAGAATCTCTGATACATGTAATTGTACATGTAAACAACACTATAACTTTCTCACCTAACACAGCTTCTGGTGCATAGAAGTAAAGACAAGGAATGTGCCTCTCCCAACCGAAGTTATAAATCCAAATATTTTCCTCATAGAACTATTGCCACATAGTGTCACTGGGTTCCATGACATTCATATAAGTACTTTATAGATTAAATAAGCCCTTGTGGGCTAACTTAAACTCCTACTCCCTAGTCATGACCATGCTCTTATGCACATATTTCAAAGAACTAATCTTCAAGCAAACTTTGGAAATACCAATCATTTGTAAATCACTATACTTACAAACTGTGTTATTAACACAAAATTTTTAAACTGAAGAGGGATAGTGGTCCTTCTAGGTTCACTTATTTTAAGTTTCCAAAGAATGTTCTGCTTAACACTAATGTCCTGAAGTTCCTACTCCCCCCAACCCACTAAGTTCCTAAAAGTGTTAGGCAAGCAAAAGTGTGTGTGTGTGTGTGTGTGTGTGTGTGTGTGTGTGTGTGTGTTTAAGGAACACTTACTAACATCTAGATCTGGGGAACTCTGTTTGAGAAGCACTGCTCTAAGTCATATAGTCAGTATCCTTGACTGTTTGGTTTAAGTGGCTCCTTCTGTTTTATTTACTTTTTAAAAGTTAAAAATGAAGAGTATGTATCCTTTCATTTTCCCAAATTTAGGTCAAAATAAAAAGCAAGTGAGAAAGTTTTAGAAAGTCTATGGATGTTTCCCTCATGGCAATACAAATAGATATTTACCAACAATCAATAATCTGTACACATGAATTATGAGCATTTCTCCAATTATTAATAATTAGTAAAAACTAAGCTTTACAACAAACAAAAATCTAACTTAAGAAAAGCTCATGGCTCATCTCTCTCAATCAGATTATTATCAACAGCTAGCCTTTTAATATCTTACCATTCAGAGCCCTGAGTCAAAATAAGAAGTCGTCTGAAAAACTCAAGTCTGAAAAAGCCTGGCAATAAAGAGGAATAAATAGTCCCTTAATACCTGATCAGTTCTGTTTTCCTAAGAAAATAAAATTGTGTTAACAAAGGTTCAGTGCTTTTTTCTCTCTCTCCCAAAAAAGAACCACTCCAACTATAAAAAATATAAATTACATTTTAATTAAGATTTAGCAACATACAAAGCTGCTTCTACTTTCAGTAAATACTGCCTAGAGTTTTGCTCAAGAAATTGCACATAGTTCCCCAAATGGTAAGACAAACTATAAGATCCATACTCTAGATTAAAGAGGGATTCTACATTCTTCAATTTAATACATGTATCATGAGAATACTCCAAACTGCTTAAATGAAATAATGATAAATTATAATTATTTTTGTAATTACATTTGATCAACTAAAACACCATATAAAGCTTCACAAATCCTCTTCACAAATCTCTGCTGCAGAACAGAGAAATAGTAAAGAAAATAAAGAAATAAATTTCTTTATTCAGAAAGTGACTCTAAGAAGAGAATTTCATGACACATTGAAAGTTAGTATCTCCACAATATTTTAGACTTTTCTTATACCAAAGTAATAATGTCAGGATATTAAGTACCTGATATTGAATATCCTATTTAAAAATAGGTCTTATGGGCCTTCAATGGCTAAGTCAAAGATCTCTCTTGGTAAATGTGGTTTATTTTCAAATATCTTTTGATATTGATTTCTAACATAATTCTACAGTGATAAGAGAATAGACTCTGTATGATTTCAATACCTTTAGACCATGAAATTTTTGTACTTTATGTCCCTGGATATGTTCCAGGGTCTCCTGGTTTATAGTCTATAGGAATTTGAATAGAATTTGTATCCTGCTGTAGTGTGAAAATTGTATAAATCTTAATTATGTGTAATTGGTTCATAGTGTTTTTCAAGTCTACTATATCTTTCTACTTTTATATTTGTTAATTTTTGAGAGTTTGATACTGAAACTCCAACTAAAAATCCTAATTTATCTACATTAAAAAAATTGTAATATATAGTAGAACTATGTGCAACTTTGTTCTGTATTTTCCAAGTCTCCTGTAAATGTGTTATCACACTTTCATAATTAAAAAAAAATAGGCCTCATGTAGAAGTCTTATAGTATTTGGTTATAATTTATATTTCATATACACAAAAACACTTGTTAATCTATGTTGAAATGATATTAATGGCTGCATTTTACTATTTCCTTAGTTTGGCAAGTTAAATTTCTGAAACCTCCTAACTATGCTTAGAGCTACCATATCTAGCCAATTAGATTGCCAATCTGTATTTAGATCTATTACTAACTCCAGGGAAAACAATGTACCCCTTTTATATATTATATATCTTCTATCTGGAAAGAGGGCTTCCCAGGTGGCGCTAATGGTCAAGAACTCACTTGCCAATGCAGGAGACATAGAGACAAGGGTTTGATTCCTGTGTTGGGAAGGCACAGGCAACCCGCTTCAGTCTTCTTGCCTGGAGGATCCCATAGACAGAGGAGCTACAGTCCATAGGGTTGCGAAGAGTTAGACACTACTGAAATGTCTTAGAACACACACACACATCTGAAAGAACTGGAGGTACAGATACAAAACATGTAAAGTGAGAGGCAATGGGTAGGGATAATTTCAAATGAATAATTTAGGCCAACAGACAGACTACCTATCGTTATAATTAAGGATAATTGTTCATTTTAGAAAAGTATGTTCCAACTCCTAAACATGTAGGGGGTTTGCCCTGAAGCCTATGTCTGAATCTAATCCCTTAACTTTAACCCTAGAATAAGCATGATACCAAATTAAGAATTATTAGAAGGAACCCAGGGTAGATTAGAAACTGTAACAACTCAACATTTTTAATCAAGAAGTGTTAGCTTGTTTCTTAACTTAATGAAACACACACTCACAGCAGTTTAGCTGTAGGTACTGGCTTGTCACTGAGTGCATACTAAGGGTGCCAAGCATGAGGTGCTGGGAATATAGAGAAAAAAACAAATAGGAAAGACCAAAATTACAGGTTGTGGTTATTTCCTGTTTGTATTGCATCTCTCTTAGTGGATACTGTGATCATACCCTTCTTTTAGGAGTAGGGTATTCTGAACTGAATTTTCTTATTCTAAACTCAGTTTGAAGACATCAGTGCTACCGTGTGCAATGTTCCTTCAATTAAATGGTTCTATGGGGAATAAAATTTAAAATGAACATCATTTTAAACTTAAAATCGGCACTGAATTTACATTCAAGTTAACGTACAGTGTGAATTGTTTCCAAGTACAGCTTCTGTTTGCCTAGGTAGCTGAAAGCATACAAAATATTAAAGACTTTGAAGGCATTATTCTCATTTTAAACGTTTTAAAATATATTTTTTAAACCATTTCCGTCTTCTGTTTTCTGAAGCACTTTTAGTACATTCTTTCGTAGATTGTGTTATTTCTATCTCTGGTAATAACATATCTGTTAGAGATGTGTATCTTTGGAACTCTTTTCCCTTCTCAACAGTCAGAATATTATATTTCCTATGTCAGGTGCCATGGTTCCCGCCTTTCAGAAGTTGGTACTGTGTGGCCGAGAAGTTCCTTTAACTTTGCAAGACGAAGTATCTAGGAGAATGGGGGACTTCCCTGGTGGCTCAGTGGTAAAGAATCCGCCTGCCAAGCAGGAGCCACCGGTTCGATCCCTGGATTGGAAAGAGCATCTGGAGACGGAAAAGGCAACCCACTACAGTATTCTTGCCTGGGAAATCCCATGGACAGAGGAGCCTGGCGGGCTACAGTCCATGGGGTCGCCAAGAGTCGTGTATCTTTACCACTGAGCCACCAGGGAAAGCCCCTAAAAGAGTCCGATAGGTCTTAGCAACTAACCAACAACACAAGAGTAACCACAGGATAAATCAGCGCTTCCCAAGTTCCCACCTGTTGCGGGACTTGGTCAGAGGGGATGAATCAGATTCCTCTAAAGCGTCCTTTTCCTTTTCCAGCCACTGACCCTCCCGCTTTCCGCTGCGACTCCAGAACGCATGTCACTCTTTCCAGTCCAGGCCCCAAGGCCGGGCCCCCAGACAGCAGAGACCCCTGCCAGGGTAGGAAGCTCGGTTGAGAACAGGGGGTTGTCCCGATCCCGGATGGAACCGAGGCGCAGATCTCCTGTAAAGCACCAGGAGCGCGCAAAGAATGCCCTAGGAGAGAAGACGCACCGAAGAAGAAAAGAACGTACTTTTACAGAGCTTCGGCCCCGGGACTCCAGACGTCTGGGGCGGGCCCTACAACCAGAAGAAACCAACTCGTTCCCGGGCGTCTCCTTCCCCCTTCTCCTTCCCGCCTTCCTTTAAGCCTTCTACTTCTCTCTCGCTTCCTCCCCCCTGCTCCGGGGGCACGTGGTCCCTCCCTGCTCTTCCTCGCCACACCCACTCCCCTCCGGGCCCATCCCGCGGCCCCTTCCTCCCAGAGTCTCCCGCTTCCCCTTTCCGTTCTCTCTTCCGCCCCCGCTCTCCATCGTTCTTTCTGATTGGTCGCGCGCACCGGAGTCTGGTTGGCCAATCGGCGAGCGGGACTGGCGGCGATGGGCGTGGCCGCGGCGCCGGGGCCCTCAGATCGAGGCTGCCTCCCCCTCGCAGCCGGCAGCACATTCCGCCGCCGTTGCCGCCGCCCGGCTCCGCAGTTGTCTTCGCCGGAGCTGCGGTCGCGCTGGGGTTAGGGCGGGGGGGGGACGGGCGGGGAGAGGCTGAGAAGACCGCGGCGGAGGCAGGTGAGAGGAGGAAGGAAGCGGCGGCGCGGCGGGCACAGCAGCTCAGGCAGCGGCCCGGTTCCTGGGAGTGTCGGTGCGGCGTGGTGGTTGGGGCGGATCCCGCGGGGCCCGGGCGGGGGAAGGAGTCACCGGCCCGGCCATGGCGGACAACGAGAAACTGGACAACCAACGGCTCAAGAATTTCAAGAACAAAGGCCGTGACTTGGAGGTAAACTCGGGGGCGCCGGAGGGGTGAGGGCCGTGGGCCTCGGGTCGATCTCCGCCGGGACTCAGAGTGTGGGGAGTAGGGGCGGGAGCCGCCGCCGCCGGGCCGCGAGGGAATGGCGCTGGGGGCCGGCCGGTCCGTGACGCGTGTGCTAACGCGCCGGGAAGTTTGTGTCGGGCCTGGTCCGCCTCCGCGGGGAGCGAGGTGCCGGGGTACGGCCGGCGCGGCCTAGGCCTGCCCCGCGGAGCCGGCCCGGCGCGGTTGCGAGGGGCTGGGCCTCACGGCAGGGAGGCCGGGCGCGGCGAGTGTGGAGGAGGCGTGCGTGTGCCGCGCCGCCCCGGCCCGCCTGCGCCCCCAGCCCAGGAGCGGCGGCGGAGATTCCGGCTCTGGCTCCCGCAACGACGTCTGGGGCCGAGGGTGGGGAGGGAGGAGGGACTAGCGTGTGGCGACCGAGTGGGGCTCGGAACTTCCTCAGCGAGGCCCGAGTCGTCTCCACTTAAAGGCACTTTCTCTGGTCTTCCCGACTCCCGCTTTACCCCTGCCTCCCCCCAATATCCAAACTACGGGAGTCAACTTCTCCGTTGAAAAAAAAAACACCCCCGGCGTGAAAGGCCTTCCTGGTGATGCTAACAGTGCCTTCCAGCGGCCTGTGTTTTACTGTGGATATAGCTGATGTGGATGAGCAATGTGGCTCACGGTGTGCGCTCTTCCTGGCAAAAGATAACCCTTATGTCACTTTGTTCACAAATCTTTTTACTCCTTCCTGAGAGACCACCAGCTGCATTCTTACCTACAAAGTCCAAAGGGTTACTCCAAGCTGTCTTCCTGTAGTCCTTTCCCTCCACCTGCCGATGGTGGTGGTAATGGGGGATGGGGTGGGCTGCGGAATGGCACCATTACATTTTATTATTCTAAAAGGTGAAAAAAAATCCTTCATTATCTTAGATAACAGCTGCTTTTAAGGTTCTTAAGATACATAAGGTGTGTGAGTTAAAACACCTATTGCAGATTTTTCATAAAAGACTTCCTTCAGTTTTAAGAGTCTAGGTGAATATAGGGGTTCTTTTGTTTGCTTTTTTTTTAAATTTTTGAATATTTCCATTCTGCATCTGAATCAAGAGTTTAGCTTTTAAAAGAAGGTGGTCTAGTAGTATTTTTTATTTTTTTGTACTTTTTTATACTGAAATCTTCAGATTACCATCATCTGTTTCTGAACTTTGAGCTTTTGCCTGATTGAGATGGTGACGTTTTGGGGGGCTTTCCACAAAGCCATTTACTCTCCAAGGCAGTTAATGCTGTCTCAGTGGGTTTCCTGGTTTGAAGGACTTAAAATACTATCTTGTTAATTCTGTGATTCTTTTAAGGTTAACATCAGGCATAATTTTTTTAATACCTTTTTTTTTTAAATGAAAGAATTTTAACAACTTTATTGAGATGATTCGCATGCTATTGAAATTGCCATTTAAATGTAGAGTTTATGATTTTCATTAAGTTTATCTAGTAGTTGTAATGATGTGATGAAAAAAATTTTGACTTATGAATATTTAAAATGAGGGGAAAAATCACAAATTACAAAACCTAAAAGCTTAGATATGGCAAAATTAGAAAAATCTAGAGAAATAGCAATTAAATGCTCGACAGTCCTAATCTCTTCCCCTTCTACTTTTCTGGCTGCTTTTGAAAATTTTTTAAACAATTTCATTGAGATGTAATTCACATAGTATACAGTTCACCCATTTGAAGTGATTTTTGGTGTTTTCACATAGTTGTACAGCCATCAGCACAGTCAATCTTAGAACATTTTCAGTTCAGTCGCTCAGTCATCACCCTCCAAAAGAAACCCAGACTCACTAGAAGTCATTCTTTTTAGATTTACCTATTCTAAATATTTCATATAAACGGAATTATACAGTATGTGATCTTTTGTTACTGGCTTCTTTTACGTAGCATAATGTTTTCAAGGTTTATACATATAGTAAAAATAATGTATTAGTGCTTTATTCCTTTTTACAGCTGACTATTCCAGTGTGTGCATATACTGCTTTTTGTTCATTCATTCATCATTTGATGGATATTTGCATTGTTTCCACTTTTTAATGATTATGCATAATGCTGCTCTGAATAGTCACCTACACATTTTTGTGTAGACCTGCGTTTTCATTTCTCTTTGGTTTTACACGTATGGTGACTTTCTGTGGAATTGCCAAGCTGTTTTTAGGTGATCCTTATTTTTTAAATTGATGTTCTCCCCTCACTGTGTATCTCTTATTATTTTAGTCAAAATAAGGTTAAGGGCTGATTCTGTCTTAGAACCATACTTGCTATGTGGTATTTTAAAAATAGGTGTAAATACACATTAAGTAATATGTTTTGAGAAGTTCATTTTGCCTTATGGGCATCCTTTGGTGACTTTGATAACTCTGCATGCATTAGGAATATGAGTATCTTCATGTTTCCACCTAAGGAACTGGAATATGATTTTAAGAGAAAGTCAGCCTTTCTCCTCACTTGTAATTTATTCTGTCACATGTGCCTGCAATGAAATAAAAACATCTTTTATTATCCTTGGAGAATATTAGAAGGCCTGTGTGTGTATGTGCTTAGTCGCACAGTCGTGTCTGACTCTTTGTGACCCTATGGACTGTAGCCCGCCAGGCTTCTCTGTCCATGGGTTCTCCAGGCAAGAATACTGGAGTGGGTTGCCATGCCCTCCTCCAAGCTGTCTTCCCAACCCAGCGATGGAACCCGGGTCTCCTTCACTGCAGGTGGATTCTTTACCGTCTGAGCCACCGGGGAAGCCCTAGTGTGTGTATTTATTAATTACTGTGTCCCTCAAAATACTGATGGTGCCCATTTCTTCCCCCTCAAATATGGTTAATTAAGTATTTCATGTTCTTTTCATACAAGTCTTCAAAATCTGGCCTTTTACACTTAACAGAATATCTCAATTTGGACTAGCTCCATTTCAGGTACAGCTGTGACTACCTTATTGGGCAGCACTGATACAGAGGATAGCAGGTAGAGTGAGATAACTAGCATTTTTGGTTTGATCTAACATAGTTTGGTTCCAAATTATGGGTATGAAATCCTGGAGTTTAGTTTAATATCTAACTTTGTGTGTGACTTTGGGAGAGTCAGTTAATCTTATGGTTCTTTCATCTGTAAAATTAGAGGTATTTGACATCTACTTCCTGTTGTGAAGATTAATAGGTTTAATGTTAGAAAGGTGCCTGGCAATTCTCTGAGTGTTTTATCACCTTCAGCTTTTCTTTTTTAGGGGGAAGAAGGGGATTTAATAGGATTTAGTGGAATTGATTGTCTTACTTCCTTATTTGCAATTGGCTGTTTGTTTTTTCCTCCATGTGCATATATCTTACGTTGAACTTAAAATTAATGGGAACATTTTTAATGTTGAGATATGAACTGCCCGTTGAAAGGCAGTTTGGGAGCAGGGAATTAGTGACCCTTCTAAAGTCAGAATTTCTGTTAGAATTGAAACTGATTATATGACCTTCAATCTGATATTCATTCCTATCATTTCTTCTACCGTTCTGGCTCCTCCAAAATACGGTCATGCTAACTTCTTGGAACGGTAACAGCATTAAAGAAGGTGTATGTCAGTACCCGTTTAAAATAACTTACAGGGACTGTCAGATGGTATTGAAGGTGTAGCTTCTTTTATGCAGTGTGATGGAGGATCATCATTAGTTTGAGATAGTAACCATACAGAGGGTATGCACAGTTTAACACAGGAAATGGGTAGTGACCAAATTTCAAAATAAAAAATGAGTCAGAATAAAGCAGACTGAGTTCATCTAGCTCATGTTTTAAACGTAGAGAGGTAGAGGGGAAATTCTCTTGTAGACTTTCTAATAAACCTGCATAATTTTTATAGAAGTTCTGAGATTATCCAGGTTTCAATAGAGCATAAGTTTTTGTTAGGTAAATAATTAGATTTTATAAAAACTGCTTTGAGAAAAATGCTTACCCTAAAAATAAAAGAATATTAAAACACTACGTAATTGGAAACTTGTAATTGTCCACACAACATAAAATATGAAGTCAGCTTGAACTTTAGGAAAAAATAGTTACTTGGTTGGCAAGAATTTAATAAATTGATCAACTGTTTTGTTGTTTAGAAATGGCCTTGGTGATTTGTTAAACTGTACAGAGTGAAAGGCATTGTTAAGCTGTTAAGTCTTGTTAACTTTTAGAGACTGACCTCTCTCATCACAAATCTTGGAACATATTTACTATACTTAAAATAACCACTGTCTAATTTTTCATATAATAGTCCAGGCATGTGACAATATGAAATATCTGATAGAAATATCGTTGGGAATTAAATAACTATTTTTGTGCTTTCTGCCAGCTTTCCTAGTTTATAAGGCAGCCAGTTTCAGAATTGCTTCATTGATAATTTTCTTAGAGGTATCAAGATCTTTGTTTTTCATAGAGCCTAGTATGTCAGATGTGAATATAACAAGATTGGGAAGAGTTGTAGGAGTAATTTAGCTTTAAAAGAATGAAAATACTTTAGAAAAAAATGCATAGGTAATTTTTAAACATTAATCTCTTGTATCTGATAGTGGTTGTGTGTCCTTAAGGTATTTTTTAATGTTGCTGAAACAGCATTCATCTGCTTGAAGCCTATAATAATGAAATGAGAGCTTGTCAAATCTAACCTTGAATGATGATTGTGATACTCACAGGTTTAGTTTTGGAACAGAGGAGAAGTTTGATTAAAGTGAACTAACTTTTTCAGCATCTCCTTTATATATACTTTTACTTGTATTCTCATTTCTCTCAATTATAGAAGTAGGGATTACTATTCATCATGTAAAGAAAAAATTCTAGAGTTACATGACATAATAGCATAACATTCAAGGGAATGACTTTAACTCATGTGTTTCAAAGTGAGATCTGTACTATTTGTATTATGTTTAGCACCTCCCTTTAGCTTCTCTCAGCCTTAATACAGATCTCAAAGTTGATTAAAGGGT